GTCTCTAGTCCGTGCCTAGTGCGATTATGATTGGTGCTTCGAGCAATCGGGCACCCATGAGAGAGTTGGAGTCTCTCGCACCAGTCTCAGTGCGGTGTCCCTATACTCCTTCCAGCCATTGCTCATTTCGTGGACTTTTCAAGGTCCTCAGGGCGCACCTCAGCACTTCTTGGCCACCACCACACACGCAATCCCACAGCCAGCACTTGATGCCGCTGTCTCACTGGAGGCCATGAAAGGGAAGCTCTTTTGTCTGGTCAAACCACACGTACAGTACAGCTCGAGATGAGAGTGTGAGGAGAGAGAGGGCTTTCTCTCGATCTGTCGAATCCAATTTCTCCTAGTAGTGTACTGTAGTAACCCTGATAATTAGGCTATTGTTTTCTGGTATCTTTAGGGCGCGGTACATTCGATTCGTAATTTCGAAAACAATATGAATTTCGGAGTTGATATGTTTTCGCTAATCTCGGAAGAGCTTTTAGCATGTCGGCGAAATTCCTCGCCCAAATTCATAACGGCGATGGAATATGCGTCACGAATTCACCCGTTCGAACGATCACTCCGCCACGTACGAACTGCCTACCCTGTTGGCGGTCGGCGAACTCACAAATAACCTGCCGCGAAAAAAATTGTCACAAAGCCAAACTTCAAATTGACGAGCTGCGGGGTGTTCGCGGCGCTAAGTATGCTAGCGAAATGTCTCTGAGTGTCGCGGAAATTCGAATTAGGGAGCTCGAATTCCAAAAAAAAGGAACATCACAGGTTAGCGCCTAACAGCATGCATGGTTCGGCAGGTGGTTCGAACCATCGCTGGAATGGTTCTTACTGCCCAAAAAAACGTAATGGTTCGGAATTTGGCGTAACGCAAACGATGCCCCGCGCCCTTACCATGGCTCCTCCTCAACTTTGGTAGGGCTTGCTGATTGGGAAGTCGTTTCCTCTCTGTGCATCTGCGAGGAAGGGGCACAAACCATACAGTTCGGTAGACCCCTCGGGAACTTCGCGGGGTCTACCGAACCGTATGAATTTGGTGATATCATCGGTTCGGTAGACCCTACAAGCGCAAGACGACAAAGTATGTCCGCCCTACAGTGCTCTTGTCGGATTTCGGGCTGGGAAGAAACAAAAATAAATCCCTAGGAGACCCGCATGGCTCCTGTGACCCCAAAACCCTGATGTTTTGGACAGCATCCATAGCCCGTTTCTCTCCTGCCCGTTTGTTTCTGCCCTTTGTGTCCGTATATATACCCCAAGAGATGGAGGTTTCGTGAATTTGGTGGTGTTGTGTTATGGTGGAGAAACTATGATCATGAAGGCTGGTTCTCCAAGAAAGTGGGATGCTTGCCACCTTCCCAAAACAGTACATCTGCCACTTGTGCAGCAACATACAATTGGAGTGTGGACGGAGTGCAAGAGCCATTCACCTAGTGATGACTGGAAATTGAAGATTGCCACTTCTGTTTTTAATCAGGCTTCTCAGGCTAGCCCTGGGGCTATGGGTGATCTCACAACGGACTCAGACACTTCCGATGAGGTTTTGAGCCGAACCAGATACCAGGGCAGTTTTTAGCAGGTGTCAGATTCCTGTCACACGCTACCCACCTACCCGCCCTCCCCCCCATCCCTTCCCCTGCCATATTTCCTCCTCACGCGCACTACATGCGTCTAGCCAGTATTTTCTCAAAGTTTCGAAGCATATTCTGTCCCTGCAGATCCGTCGCCCCCATTCGAAAGTTGCTTCTTTTCCCAACAGCGATAAATCGCTGATCCCCTCCCCCCTTCTCCCTCTCCTCATCCTAGGCCTGGCCTTGCTGCAGCATAAATCAGAGCTAGTAGATACCCTAGGGAGATGTCCCTGTAACTAGGCTGGAATGTCACGCCAAGTCTTTCCCTCTAACACCTTAGCATAAAGTTGCGGTTGCTCTGGCATTATCTGGATCGAACACCCTGATTCATCCGGGGATTTCCCCAACCGCTCCGACATTACAGGGTTTTCTTTATGGGGGTCCAAATCGGCCGAGGGTGCAAGCACCAGCAATTTAGGGTACAAACAATGTGGGGAGGGTGCTGGGGAGGCTTTCCTCTGGGGGGTAGGTATATGGAGCCTAACCCTCCTGATGAGATCCCTTCTTGTCCCAGTGGTTTGGACTGGTGACTTTATGACAGTATTTACCCCCTCCAAAGAAGCTCTTGAAGACCAGATCCGGATACTCTTGAAATTAAAATTTAGCTTAAAGTTTATCCACAACAAGTTTGCTGCTCGATTTACTGTTTCTCGAGTCACAAAACCCGTCGTCAGCTTGGGCAATGCAAAACAATTTTGCCCGCGTGGGGTCTGCCGCGCATAGGCCGTAGGAACTAGGGAGTAATGTTTACGGACTCAGAAATGGTCAGGGTTGAAAAACAACTTTGGCTGCCGCCCAATTTCAGGGTGTAAAATTACCGCGGTCTAGGTGCAAGTCCATTCAGATAGCATTGCAACATCCGTGCGAAATTGCAACACATAAAAGTATGTAACAATACCGCCGCCGACAAATATCGGGGCTGTTCACTGTAGACGTCCAGGTTTCAATGCCCGTAAATCCTTGCCATGCCGACGCCGCGCAATGTCAACGTTTTTTCTGTTCACCACGTCCCAACCCAAGGGGTTCAAAGTCTTTGTTTCTGTCACGTCGGCTACTGTACCTTGAACATGTGCTGATGTGTACACGTTGTCAAAAGAGTCTGACAGTTTCTAGGAAGACCCTGAATTGAGAGCCTGGTTATTTGTGCATCCTACACCTAACCCGCGGTATTTTTATACCCTGAAAATGGATAGCAAACATTTGGCGTATCCTGACGGTGTGAAGTTACTGGGGCGCGAAATGCCCCAGTATCTTCACAGGGGTAATCCACCGAACCAAAAAGTGCCACGCTGTCGCAACCGAGGCTCCTCTGGTCGAAATGTCGCGCTGGTTTGGAATTTCAAATGCACCGCCCAAATTTCATGCGTTCATTGGGTGTATTTTGATCGAACCAATTAGTTAGCATGCTGCTGATTTCATTTGATTTGGTCAACTCCGATGTGGCAGCTTTACAGTACACATGATGCCCGCCGGAGGCCTAGCTCAATACGTGGCCCAATCAGGAACCATCGCCCATTAGCGTTGTCACACGGGCAACGGCCCACTCAACGTGAGCCGTGAACAGAGCCAGCAGTGCAGCGTCATCATGACAGCGGTGACAAACATGCGGCACAAGACGAAGGATGTGCGCCGCAACCTTTTTCGCCACAAACTTTCAGCCGCGCTCGGAATAGCGCTCCGGCGAAGGTCAGCGAGCCTTTCGTTGAGCTCGCAAAATGACACACGCCTCGCTGGGTTTGTTTGTGGCTTGAGCGTCGCCGCATGAAACCGAACGCTGACTTGGCAGCGAAATGGGGTCGCGATGTCCCGATGCCAGGGGTCGTTCTCAACATCCGACAGCCAATCCAGGAACAGACTCGAAAACAAATTCCCACAATCCACACAGTAGTTATTGTTGCGACACGAACCTTGAATTCGTAATATAAAAAATATTTAGAACACGCCCGTAATATTTGGAGCTGAAATGCGACTCCAACACCTCACCCCATCACACTGAGTATAAAAGAGAGCAAACCAAACCAGAAAAAATCACTCAACATCTCACCCGCCAACCACCACTCTGGTGCTACACCAGGGAAACTCTCTCAAGCTTGAAAGCGTCGAAACTTAACACAGGGTAACTAAGTGAACAATGGCTCGCCAAAATATGCCACTCAAACCTACCCCGCAAAACATCAAAATGGTAACCTTCGTGCTCGTGCAAAAGGCCCACATGCCCGTGACGATGCCGTGCGAAACCCGTGCGCGTTTTTGTCTACCGGCACCCTGAAAAGTTGTCTTCCTCTGTCAGGCTCAAGGTGTACTGTCGGTGCTTCCATAAGCGAGTTTCGTTTCTGCTCCCCCCTAATGACGCGCTCCTGTGCGCAGAGCCACAAAAATCGATAGGTCCTCACCAATTCTGAGCCTATTCAGGTGGCACTTTCTCTCGCGGGCCTGGGGCTGCCCATTTCAGTGCGCCCCGAACTATTGAAGCTTGACCGCCCCACTACGCGACATAGGGTGTGAAAATACTAGGTGTGAAAATACCGCGCGTTAGGTGTAGTTGGGTGGAGGGGTTTGACATCCAGCTGCGCCCAAGCTGCCTTGGCGCAGGGGGAAGGTTTACTGTACCGAACCAGACGCAGGGCTCGGTTCGGCATCGAGGCAAGGGAAGACGCAAATCGTAGAGGGCGCGTTTTGGGCTGGGGGCAACCCCCCAGGCCGAGCTTCGAGGCATCAATGATACGGGTGAGATCAACCATAGTGTGGATTTGGGCGATCTCACTCGTACAACTGATGCCCCCAAAGCCTGCCTCGGGGCTTGCCCCTAGCCCAGAACTCGCCCTGATTCAGTTCAAGAGAACCGGGTGACGTGGCTCTAACAGTCTCTGTTTGGGACCAGGAAAGGCTCACCTGGGGGACAACGTCACGTGACGGAACTAATAACAATGATACACGTGTACTGTACCCAAGGGGAGTCCTTGAGATGAGTAGGCGAGGGTCCTAGGGTGCCTGTGCTCCTCCTGGAATCCAGAAGTGGGACAAGGACAGGGTGCTTGGATGGAAGGACAGACGCGAGGGTGGGGGTGGGGGGGTGCCTGAAGCGAGGGTGTGGGGGGGTGGGGGTACCTGCCCGATGTTCGTACAGCTTTGTACAGAACAGCGAAGTGTGGTGGATGGAAATGTCAACGCAAGGCGGGCAGGGTAAAGGCTGGTGTGGGAAAATATGCAAAATACAGAACTGTAGTTTGGAAGATTTTGGGCAGAAACTGTAGTTGTTCACAGCCAAGCTTGCATCGGTCAGCTTGCTTGCTTGGGTAGCTTGCTCTGTGTTTTTTTCGTCAAGTGCACGCATTGAAGCCATTTTCTGTGTAGGCCTAATCTGACACTAACAGCTTTAGCAGCGCTCCTAACGTCACTTCGCTGCGGTGTACTTGCGTGTGATGATAGGGTAATGGTTGTTTCGCGCATCTTGAGAGGCGGTTCCAACGTGGAGCGGAGTACTTTCGATTAGCAGTAGCGTTGCTTCGGCTTAAATGTGTAGACCTCCGTTCGCCTCGTTAGTAATGGCGACCATGGTTCTGTGCGAGCCGTCTACACCGCGAGTCGAATTGTACGAAACCGACAAGATGAATCTTGCGGACGACGCCGTTTCCCCTGGAGAAAGTCCCTCCGTCGAGAGACGACACGGTAAGCAGTAGTCACATCAAACCAGTCCGAGTCCGATAGTCTCACTGCCATTGGCAATGGAGGCTGCATTGCTTCGCCAATTCGTTTTTGAGGCGCCTCAAATATAGGCAATAGAGTCTGCTGCATTGCTTCACCAAGTTCGTCGCGTCGTTCACTGTCGAACCTTTTTTAAATTGGACCCGACCAACATGATGGAGAGCATTGGAGTCGCCATCATGTCTTAAAGGCTCGGCGCGCAGTGAAACGAGCCTACATTGCTTCTGCTGCCGCTGTTTTTCATCAAACTTCACCTTCCCTGCTTCTTTTTCTTTGTCTTTTGCCCTCAGACGCCGAAGAAGCTTCTACTGTAGCAACTCCATCGGGAACGGGCTTTAAGCTTTCGCCGCTTCGCGTCTGCCCGAACGCGCCAATCAAATCCAGAACAAATGTGCCGGACCTTTTCGCGAAACGAAGAAAAATGTCGCCGGACGCGGCGAAACGGTTGTTCCGCTCTCTTAATTTTGACGATGTCGAGGTCCCTCGATCTCCTTCCTAGGCGGCTTCCTCTCGTGCCGCTGATGGTGCAGACTGTTGCAGCGAAGCTGAAGCTTCGCTTTCCGCTGCCGCTTCCTTGAGTCGAGGCGACGCTCCTCCCAGCTGACATGACATCCTTCACGTTGACGTCCCTCTGACGTGCCTCCGAGGAGAGTCTGACTCAGACGTCCCTCTGGCGTTCCGTTGACGTGCCGCTGACATGATGACATCCGTGACGTCCCTCTCACGTGCCTGATGTGCCTCTGCCGAGCCTCTGCCGAGCCTCTGACGTGCCCCTGATGTCCCGTTGACGACTCTGACGAACCCCTGACGAGCCTCTGACGAGCCTCCGATGTGCCTCTGACGCACCTGGTGCTGGCAATGTACTATGATTAGAGACATACTGAACCCCTTAATCTGACTCGTTAGCCCTCACATCAGGAGACCACTAAAGGCTGCATCATGAGGGAGCCATGGACGCACAGAACGACATTCAGAGAGGCGTTGCAATGTGAAGGGACAAGCTGTCTCTTGCTAGAGTATCGAGCAGTCCTTAGTCTTCTCACCCTTTGTAAAGAAGTTTGTTTCCTCTGAGTACAAGTGTCTTGATATCTGATGGTCAGTGACCCGCATGATGCTTGTCTGACTTCCAGAGTACTCCCCATTGCTGAAAAGCATGACAATTTGCACATGACAACACGGACATTGTATCTGGAACTTCACATTAGGAATGTGGAGCAGCCCCTATACTTCCAGGATGAGCCACGACAAATTCCACGTTCTGTTTCCACACAGCCCCTTCCCCCCCACTACTACCACCCCCAACCCCAACCCCAAGAGCTGCTCCATCACCACCAGCGCCACCAGCACCACCACCAGCTCTCTGATTGTCAGCTTGTTCTCCTTTCCACCCAGCGTACACCTCTTTCTTCCATATAGGCACCTTCGCTTTTAGCTCGTCTATCAGGAATGTGACTGCAGCGAGGGATTCTTTTCTGTGGGCGCTGGACACAGCAATGATTACACTGGCCTCGAATACAGGGACCACTCCCAAGCGATGGGCCATGGCCACCTTCAACTGCCACTTGGCACGTGCTGATTGGATTATTTGTTTCAAGTCACTGGAAATGGAAAGATGTCAAAGGAAAAAGAAAATCACTTGATAAGAAAGGTAAGGAGCGAGCAGGAGCACACGAAGGGAGAGCCTGAGGCTGAGCGGGGTACCGAACGAAATGTGGTTAGAACTTACCATGTGGAAAGCTCCCGAGTACTGACTAGGAGTACTGGAAGGTAACGGCGGAAAGTGCGGCTTGGTGTTGTCAATTTTTGATAGACTTTCAGTTGGTCAAACGGGCAGCTAACGAGAACTCCCCAAAAAGGGACGACTATTAGAAAATAGTTGTTTCGTCTCTCCCAGGCCAGAGTCCTCCTTGTTAAATGATATATTGTGTTATATATTTGGTAGGCTTGGTAGGTTACCGAACTCTACTGTAGAGGGTACAACTCCCTCCTTGTATGCCTCTCTTCCTAGTCTCATCCACTTTTCCTTTCGTCAACTTTCTCTCCTAGCTCCTAGTTCCTAAACCTCTCGCCATTTCATGGCCCCCTTCCTTCCAAGCTACGTTAGTCTTCTAACATGGTTTCAAAGCAGACCCCTTTTGCTCGGGCCTTCTCCTCACGCTTCCGCAGCGTACTCCCCCCCCCCCCCCCCGTCACGCCGCGCTGGCCCCGTCATGCCGCGCTGGCCCCGTCACTCCGCGCTGGCCCCGTCACGCCGCGCTGGCCCCGTCTCGCCGCACCGGCCCCGTCTCGCCGCGCCGGCCCCGTCACTCCGCGCTGGCCCCGTCACGCCGCGCTGGCCCCGTCTCGCCGCGCCGGCCCCGTCACTCCGCGCCGGCCCCGTCACGCCGCGCTGGCCCCGTCCCTCCGCGCCGGCCCCGTCACGCCGTGCCGGCCCCGTCACGCCGTGCCGGCCCCGTCACTCCGCGCTGGCGCCGTCACGCCGCGCTGGCCCCGTCTCGCCGCGCCGGCCCCGTCACTCCGCGCTGGCCCCGTCACTTCGCACTGGCCCCGTCACTCCGCGCCGGCCCCATCACGTTGCCGTGGCGGCCGTATCGTGCTGCCATGGCGGCTTTGTGATGCTGCCATGGCAGCCTTGACGCGGCGGCTTCGTCGTGGCTCCGTGTCGCCGTCGTCGCGTCAGCGCATGGGCGGCAGTGGGCTGCGCACTGGTTTAGGCACCAGGCAGCAAGCCCGCACTCCAGCTCGCCGCGTCTCCTTAGCTAGTCGTGTCGGACCCTGCTCGCCGCGTCGGACCCAGCTCGCTACGTCAGACCCAGCTCGCCGCGTCGGTCCCAACGGACCCAGCTCACTGCGTCGGTCTCAGCTCGCAATGCCAGCCGGCTCCGCCTCGCCGCAGCTCGAGGATGCCTAGCACCTTCCTTCCCTGCACTCACCTCTGCTGCAGGTTATGGGGGTGCTAGGCTTAGAGGTGTTGCATGTGGGGGTGGGCTTGTAACTACCAAGCTTAGGGGGTGTGTTAAATTATATATTGTGTTATATAATTGGTAGGCTTGGTAGGTTACCGAACTCTACTGTAGAGGGTACAACTCCATCCTTGTATGCCTCTCTCTTCCTAGTCTCATCCACTTTTCCTCTTGTCAACTTTCTCTCCTAGGTCCTAGCTCCTAAACCTCTCGCCATTTCATGGCCCCCTTCCTTCCTAGCTAAGTTAGTCTTCTAACACTCCTTAACAGATAGAATCCATCTGTTTGTCTTATTTTCAGACACGATTTTTCGGTTTATTCTGATTTTTCAGACGTCCAAAAATAGAAATTCGGATGCCTTAGAAATTGAATTATAGTACTTCTGATTTTTCAGGAACTATGTACTTGTTCTTCTGACGTTTCAAACCTAGCGATTCTGCTCGTCTGCGAGTGGTTGCTGTATACGGCCCCCCTCTAGGCTATGTGAGGGGCTAATTCGCCCTTGCACCTAAATTCATGCTTGCTTCGTGTTCTAGGTTGTGTGAGGGGGCTTATTGGCCCTTCACCAAATTACCATGCCATGTGCGCTGGAGGGCGAGTGACTGGGCTGATTGGCCCTTCACCAAATTCCCGTGCCATGTGCGCTGTGTGCTGGAGGGCGAGTGACTGAGTTGATTGGCCCTTCACCAAATTCCCGTGCAATGTGTGCTGGAGGGTGTGTGAGGGCGCTGATTGGCCCTTAAGGGATGTGCTGTTGGCTGTGCGAGGGCGTCCTCGTAACCACAACAACCCCTGAAATCTCTCGATTCTTCCCAAACCTCGGCCCGCCCGTGTCCTGATTTCGCCCAGCACGAGCAAATTCGTGTTTTTTCTCGCCACAAGTTTCACTCGAATGCGCCCCATCCGCCTAATGACCCTCGGGCATTCAGAAATTCAACTTGGGAATTTTTGTTTCCCCCTGTCGCACGTGACTTTACCGCAGCTAAACTGGAGTGTGACGATAATAAAATTTACAAGGTTTCATCCGAATTTTCAGAAATCGGTAATCATTTCGTCTGGGAAATCAGGAAAAGAAAACAGACACATCTGATGATCAGACGGGCCCTAGAAAAGGCCTAGGGAGGACCCTGTCCCAGGCCCCACGATATTAGGATTTTTTTTCCTGATTACGCTTTTTTTTAGGGTCCTCACCTGCACCCTCCCTGATGAATCTGCATTTTCCCCTAGTGCAACACTGATGAAAAAAGTATTTATGATGAGTAAGAGTATGAAATTTCAGAGTTTTAATATAGGAGTACGCTGAGGCCTCCGCTTAGTATCGCTTATCGATACTGAAACCAAGTCTTCCGCGATCCCAGGGAGATTCTGACTGTCGGCGCAATTTCACCTCCCCCTCCCCGTCAATCACGGCGCTAGTTGAGTAGCGCTGTGAGCTCGGGGTGCGACGAATCTTGAAAGCTGCCGCGCTGGTTCCAGATTGCAGCAGCAAAGCACACCCATTGGCCTTTGACGAAATTTGGTCCAAGTGACCAATAGGCGCTCGGCAGCAAAGCCGTTTTACACCTGCGCTAGCAACACAACGCGGCGCAGAGCCTGAATCTGCCCGACACGTTCGCGCAGTAAAGCTGCCACCGTCCACGCTCTGTACCGCTTCGCCCCCCCGCCACCCCTCCCCACATCATGCCAGGGAAACCTTGACCAGGTCGAGATTTCCCCCCTGGTCATAACCTCAAGGTTACCAAGCTCATTCAGCAATCCTTGGCAGGGGTTGGGCCACACTCCTCCTCGTTATTCCACTACCATCTCAAGCTGCACCTCACCCACCCTCCCAGCTCAGCCACCTCGCGCCATGGCTGAAGCTGGCAGAGTTTCTCAGCTCGATGGTGGGTCACTAGCAGATGACCCACCTAATCCTACACCTCAGGGGCCCGTCCCACGCAGTGCGCTATATTTTTTACTCTCCTCCTCCTCGCCGAACGCTAAGGCCCTCTCTGCTGCCCCTGCCTCTAGTGTTGCACGTAAAATTGACTGCATTTCTACGCCTGTTGAAGCTAGTTCTTGCGCTACCGTAGCCCCTATGGAGTTAATCAACCCCATAGCCAGTCCGGCACCTTCCGCGCTTCCCGACCCTCTCCCACTCCCTGGCCCTATGCGGATCCCCGCTGTAGACCCAACAGTCGAGCCTGATGACGTATCACCTGCGAGTGGTAGCGTCACGATGAGAATTTATGTCGGGAGGAGGGAGTTCATGGCGTCGGAATCCCCCCTTGTGGACGGGCCGACGCGGGCTGGAGGGAGCCAAACCGCAACACCGCTGACGAACGACCAGCCCGAGTCGAGTGCTGGAGCTGTCCTGCAGGCTCCACGCTATCGGTAGGGTACCCTGCCCTTTATCTCTACATCAGCGACAGCCACAGCGACACCACCCAAGAACCTGCATAACAGCTCCGACTCCCCTGCTCCCACGCTTAACCTCATCGAACTTCTTTACGCTGACGCTCTGGATAAGTTTAAAAGCACTTGGCAGGATCGTTACCCGTGGCTCATTCTGACTAAAAGTAGTGACGAGTTGCTCGTGAAGTATCTGTCAAAGAAGAGCGTGAAGGATTCCCGAAAAAAGGCTACGGCAGCTTCTACAGTGCGTAAGCTGACATACTTAACTGTTTTCTAGTTTCGAAAATGTTTGACAATCTTTGTTAATGCAACGTATGTTTTGTGGTAAATCGAGTGCACACATAATAATAACAGCTTCCCTTGCTGATGCTGCCAGGTACGGCTTCGGCGAGTTCACCCAGGCAATTGCAACGTGGCTGGGAACAACCCAGTTGGATCACATCCGCTCGAGCCCCTACCTCGGCCTCAGTTGTGACGAGTCGACGGATTGGTGTTGTGGGAAGCATCTCATCATCTATGCCACCTTTGTGAAGGACAACGCTGTGGTCACGGATTTTTTCGCTCTCTTGACTGTCGACCGGGCGGACGCGGTGTCACTCCTCGGCTTGCTGCTGTCACACCTTCAGGCCGTCGGCATCGACCTCAACCGCATCAGCGGCATCAACACCGACGGTGCGGCATTCATGACTGGTGTCCGCAACGGGCTTGTGGCGCGGCT